TTAATTTCAATATTTGTGTGATCATTTAGAGTATTTTTCAATTGAAAAATGTGCAATTTACGGGGAAACTCGACAAAATTTTGTTAGATGTTTAAAAAAATTATAATATATTTCCAGTTAAATTTTTATTCATTTATTAAACTCGTTTCGTGTGTTATTCTTGAGTTATGTCTTATAGATTGGGTACATCCGGTCGTAGTGTCCGTGGCCATGACTCGATGTTAACCATATGATTGATGAATGATCATGCATCCTATAGAGGTGTAGACTAAAACAAAAAAATTTCTCCATTTAGGGTTCTCAAGATCATATCATTGAATCAATTAATTATACATAAATATGAATATAAATATGAATGAAAGATTACCTCTTATAGTGCGAAATAATTTAAGCGAAAAGAAAACCGTATAAGTGTCCAACCATTATTGTATATCCACACATCTTAAACACCTATACAAAAATCTATAGAAATCGAGAGTGCTATCTCTAATCCTTCTATATAGTCAATTTTTATCTTATAGGGTAATTTGCACCAACTTTTGGCTTTTATAAGGAGAGATGCGGTAACTTTGTTTTTAAGGGAGAAAATATTTTTCTCTCTATTTTTCTTTATGCCATGTGTTTTCTTTCTTTTTCTACTCGTCATGTCGCCATGCTCTCCTTTATTTATATAGAGGTGGCAACTTCTCCTCGCTAGGTCAAAGAGATATTGTCTATGTGGGCTTTGTCTAACCTTATCCTTGTAAACTCGAGCCTTATCCATTAATGCTCAAGTTTATCCTTTCACCAAAATATTTTACGAGCCTTTAAATTAAACCTATTAGCCTAAACTCTTTTGTTCCAATTAATTTAGACCATCCAAATAAATTATGTTATATATTTTTAGGAGGCTCATATTAGGAAACAATTTTTTAAATTACAATTAAACCTAAATTAGAAAACTAATTTTCTTTTTATAATTGTCTTCTAACTTTGAAACCGACTTCTAAATTAGGAAACTGATTTCTAAAATAGGAAACTTTTCATTTTAGAAAACTTTTTTCATAATGGAAAACTTTTCAAAATGGGAAACTTTTCAAAACAGAAACTTTTTTCCAAAATCTTTGCTTCTCTTTTATCATGTGAATGTTTAAATTTATGCATGTGACTCAATAGACTCCTAAATATGTTGGCAATGTATCAAGAATAAAAGATACTTCTTTTATCTTTTGATACATAAATTTAACTTCTAGCAAGGCATCATGACTATTCAATTCTTTAGGAGGATTAATTAATCCACAATTACATTTCACGAGTATGGTTACCATACAATTTAGTCCTCATATCAATTTATCACATGGTGTTTGCATGTCCGCATCTCCTCCAATAGTGTCCTCGCTGGTTATGCCCCGTCGGTAATGCCTCCTACCGTGGATGTCCCTTTGACAATTTCCTCAACCCTAAGAAACTCTACTAGATCTCATGATGGACAAACCATAACTAGCGACACTCGTTTTTTCGCTATTTAGCAATGGATGTAAGTGAAAATAACAATAGAATGTCGACTAAAATAAGACCTTCCAGATGACTATTTAAGATCAATTTAGTGACAAAAAAAATATTGTGATCATTGAGGAAATAGCAACCACTATTTTAGAACGAAATCCATATTGTCTCTAATTCATTGCTAATATCATATATTGACGAATTTTCAACATATAGCAATGAAAAATCCATCGTTAAATGTCAAAATTCTAGTAGTGTGTGGCTAATGAAAATGTTTTTCCTCCGAATGTACGTTCGAGTTAAACCTATAGAAGCTCAAATCTAAACGGACAAAACCTAGGCAAACATACTAGCCACTACCAAGAGAAGATGCTCTTTAGTAAGGAAACTCGTCCCATCTTGATTCGAAGAGTCGATTTACCTTCGACCTATTAAAATAATAATAATAATAATATATTCATTAAATAAATACATGCTCTCAATGTTTTTTTTTTCAAACCACAACAATAATGATGTCGTCATGTTTATTCATCGATAACTTGTCAATGTTAAAAAAAATATATTTTTTTTAATCTTCAAACTAATATAAAAGATTATTGATAGTAAAAAAAAAATTATTCTATCATTCTTTTTATGTAACTTGACGAGTTTTATAACTATATAGACAATAATATTGAGATTTAAGATTAAAAGTTCAAAATTTCTTCTCTTCTTACTACTATTTATCTTCATTTTAATACCACCTTCTCAGACTAATACTGCATCTCTTATACTAATTTGATCGTTGGATGAGTTTTCATCTAACAAAAAAAAACTTATTTTACACATATTCTAACCGTCAAACAAAGACCACCAATGTACGAACACCACCTTCAAACCAACCATGAAAAACTACATCATTTTTGGAAATTTTCCAACATCGTCAAAATCGAAACACAAATCTTTTGAAAGAAGAAAGGCAGGGAGCGATAAACCAAAATTAGGTTTTACCTAATGATGGCCTACTCTAAACAATTAAATGAAGAGTAATTATGTGATTTAAGTTATAAAACTTCAAAATGTTGTGCTATCAGACTGAAATAGCTAGCCACCCCCTGTCATTTTCCTCTAAGATGTCAGCTTCATCAATATATTCGAATGCGCCTTCATTAATTGTATTACATTACTAATTAGGTTTAGATTCTAGCATTCATAAAAACCATCTGGGCGTCTCAATTTTTAATTTTCCTTAGATTCTGTTGTTCCTTCAAAATCAAATTCCAATTGTCTGGAATTCAAGCTGTCTATGTTCGTTCACACATGTTTCGGTTCTGTACTGTTAGGCAGCCCTCCAAAAGATTGTTCGAAAGAAAGAGAACTTGAGAGCAGCGTGACGCAACTAATGATCTCACATCCAAGAGAAGTAAGGCGCCTTGCGTGCGTGTCTGACTGAAATTTCAAGAGACGCACACGCTTCGTTACCTCCCGTTTTATGCTCCAAATCACAGGATGCTCTTCTACAAGATAATTTGGTATATGTTGACTTTTTGTCCAATTTCGTAATATAAATCCGTTAGTTTGCCTAAACTATCATTAATTAATCCAAATAAAAAAAGTCTAAATCATAATATGTGTATGGTTATAATAAATAGGAACAAAAAAATTTAAATTCTTAAAATTAGTAATAACTAAATAAATAGATAATTTGGTTAAAAATAAAAAATATATTAAATTGAAAAGAATAGAAAAAAATTTAAGAATTATTTTCTCATATTAAGATATGATATTCTAATCTTATTTTATTAAAATTTAAAAAAAATTATTAAAATAATTTTTAATATTTAAAAACGTAAAAATATGTATTTTATTTTTATTATTAACAAAATTATTTTTATTAAGTTTAAAAACTTAATGCATTATTATGTATCTAAAAAAAATCAAAGTATTATATTTTTCTAGGTTCAGTGTACAAGATTCTAATCTTCAGTTGTTTTCTATTTTTAAATTTTTTCTCATTTACTTTTAATACAAAATTTAATATTTAAAAAAATTAATCTTTTTTTTCATTGTTATAATTTACCGAATTATTTTAGTTGGTTATTATTAAATTTAAGAATTTAATGTATTATTTTTTTCTTTTTAGAATAAATATACACATATTTTTTTATATAATATCAAAAGTCTCTCACCTGTTTTTAAGTTTCTAATTACATTTTATTTATTCTTAAATTTTTTTGAAATATTCAATCCGTCATTTCAATCTATTTTCTGATTTTAGAAAAAAAAAATGATCAAAATGCTCCAAGTTGAAATGAAAAATAAAATTCTAAATATTTTGAAAATGAAACATGTAGGTTATGTGACTTTAAATTTTTTATTTTTTATTTTTTTTAAATTTTAGTAAAAACCATTTCGATGAACAAATTTGAAATGATTAAAAAAATAGATCAAAATGATAGATTGAATATTTTAAAAAATTCTAAAAACAAATAAGTTACAATTAAAAACTAAAAAAACAAATGAAAAACTTTCAGTATTATATTAAAACAGGTATGCATATTTATCATTTTGTTTATTATAAATAGTGCATGCGACATCATTTAAACTTTTTATTTGGGTCAACTAATGATAATTAGTCGAACTAACGGTGGTGCATGATAAATGGTAGATGGATAGATCAATAAGTACCAAATTGTATAGTAAATAGGTAGCTATAAACCAAAATCATGTATAGGGATCAATATGATCAAAAATAAAAAATAGAGAAGCATCCCATAATTTCACCCTTCTTTTTTCCTCTTGGCACATGTAATAAGATTTTATGGTGAGGTTGGAAGTTGGAACTTTCCACCACAATATCGCTACAATCTTTGAATCCGACCAATTTTTTTCAAGTATCCATTCCTCCATTATTATATGAGTTCTCATATGTAGCCTTATCCTTTCCTCCAAAAACAGAAGGCCATATCCTTATACCTTCTTTTACTCGCACCCGCATACCCTAATAACTAATTCTATAACTATTCCATTCAATTAATTAACAATCTACTAATTAACTCTTTCTCAAAAACAAAAGAAAAGGAAAGTGCTAATTAACTCAGCGATAGAACAAAAAGGTTAGATTTAGAAATTCATGCGTATCAAAAGATGCACGTGTCCAATTTATAGTCATTTTCTAATTAAACATATTCGTTTCTCAAAAATTGTCCTTTCCGTGTTGCATATACATTTGGCGATGGTCCGAAGTGTATTGTCACTTTCCCGCGTGAAATCTAATTGGTCATGCGTTTTCAGAGTTTGATTGGATTCATCCCCTCGTCTTTTCCTTCTTGTGGTAAACCCCACCGTCTCTTCTGAAAGACCACTACTAGCTAGTCAACATGAAACTCCTAGTTCCCACCTCGTTCTTTAAGCCCACAATCTCCACTATATAAGTGATACTCGCTCAATCAATTAATAAGTCCAACCTTAGAAACAACTTGGTAGCATTGCAAGGGCTAGCAAGCCAATAATTTTTCTTTTTTCTTTCCTTTTAAATGGCTGCTAGTGATGGTGCTGGTGGCTGGAGAGGGATGAAGTTTGGCATGCAAGTGTTTATGGGGCGGTGGTTCATGGTCTTTGCCTCACTCTTGATCATGGCCGTGGCTGGTGCAACCTACATCTTTGGTCTATACTCTAACGACATCAAGACATCGTTAGGCTATGACCAATCCACTTTAAATTTGCTAAGCTTCTTCAAGGACCTGGGTGGCAATGTTGGAGTCTTGTCAGGGCTCATCAATGAAGTTTCCCCTCCGTGGGTGGTTCTATCTATGGGTGCAATCATGAATTTTTTTGGCTACTTTATGATTTGGCTTGCTGTTGCTGGCCATATTGCCAAGCCAAAAGTTTGGCAGATGTGCCTTTATATCTGTATTGGTGCAAATTCACAATCATTTGCCAATACTGGAGCTCTAGTAACTTGTGTTAAGAACTTCCCAGAAAGCAGAGGCAGTGTTTTGGGCCTCTTGAAGGGTTTTGTTGGTCTTAGCGGTGCAATTATAACACAACTTTACCATGCTTTCTATGGAAATAATTCGAAGGCACTTATCCTGCTTATTGCTTGGCTTCCAGCTGTTGTTTCTTGCCTATTTCTCGGGACAATTCGGATAATAAAGATCGTTCGCCAAGCTAATGAGCTCAAAGTTTTCTACAGAATCTTCTACATTTCGCTTCTCCTTGCCGGTTTTCTCATGGTTTTGATTATCATACAAAACAGGCTCAGTTTTAACAGAATTGAGTATATTGGAAGCGCGTCTGTCGTTCTTATTTTACTTTTCCTCCCTGTAGCTGTAGTTATAAAAGAAGAATACGATCTCTGGAAAAGCCAAAAAGCAGCCTTGAATGAGCCTTCTACTGTAAAAGTAGAGATTGAAAATCCACCACGGTCGTCATTGGAGGCATTACCCCTTCCAGCTGCTGCCGAGAAGCAAACTTCTTGCCTGGACAATATTTTCAGGCCACCAGACAGAGGTGAAGACTACACAATACTGCAAGCACTCTTCAGCCTTGACATGTTAGTATTGTTCATTGCAATAACTTGTGGAGTTGGTGGCACTTTAACAGCCATAGACAACCTGGGTCAGATTGGTAATTCACTTGGCTACCCAGCTCGTAGCATAACTACCTTTGTGTCACTCGTTAGCATATGGAACTATCTAGGTCGAACAGTGGCTGGTTTCGCCTCCGAAATTTTGTTGACGAAGTACAAGATCCCTCGTCCTCTGCTGCTTACAGCTGTGCTGCTTTTCTCTTGTGTTGGCCATCTTCTTATTGCCTTTCCTGTTCCATATTCTCTTTATTTTGCGTCGGTGATCATTGGGTTCTGCTTTGGAGCACAATGGCCATTGCTGTTTGCCATCATATCTGAAATTTTCGGCCTTAAGTACTATTCTACCTTGTATAATTTAGGTGCTGTTGCGAGCCCAGTTGGTTCGTATGTTCTCAGTGTGAAAGTGGCTGGTCAATTGTATGATAAAGAGGCATTGAAGCAAATGGAGGCTTCCGGTCTTGCCAGAGGAGCAGGGCAGGACTTGACATGCACTGGTGTGCAGTGTTACAGAATGGCTTTTATTATTATCACTGCAGCAACATTATTTGGATGCCTCGTTTCGTTTATTTTGGTGCTTAGGACCAGAAACTTCTACAAAGGTGATATCTACAAGAAATTCAGAGAGGAAGCCAAGTCTGCTGAGTATGGTGTGGGTTCAGCTGGAAACGGCACTGTACATTTGACAGAGATAAAATCTGAAGCCACAGCCCCTACCACTAGCTGCAGAAAATAGATAAACGAGTTTCTGTGGACTTGGATTCTGTAGTTATCAAAATATTGGTGTATGTATATTGTCGTGATTTGGTTAAAAAAATATATATATATCCTCATATACTGCATTGTAATACCTAAAATTCTATACCTACTTGGGGTTTGACTTCTACTGGTTTGGTTTATTTGTTGATCATGTTTTCTTAGTATCGATCCTCTGGAGCAAACCTACTGAAGTGGGGATGAGAGGAAAGTCTGCCACCAGTCCATAACAAATGTTTTTAGGTATCAGCTCCTATCCATTTGCATTTGTGGTCACCAAATGCTGTTAGGTATTTACCCTTATCTGCTTAGGCAAGAATAGCTTGCTTCAATTTTTGCCAACCGCATGCCAATAGCTTGTGTTCTTTTCTGCTATCTGGGCGGTAAAAGCAGATGGTGATAGTGTAGGGATGCCTAGAAGGCTCCATGAGCAGAAGCTGCTGCAGTTGTATTAAAGTAGCAAATTTCTAATAAAAGTCCAAAGTGGGCCTGAAATAGACCTTTCACTTCAGAATTTGATGTAATGGCTGATAGACCAACCGAAAATAGATGATGGTGGGTGCTGGAATTCTGAAAAGGAAACTGTTGGCCACAATTTTGCTCTGCTTTTCAAGTGAAGACAAGGAGCCTTTCTCAATTATTTGGAGTAATCAATCGTGGTTCCTTGTTATGATTAGTCTTTCCAGACAATATGTGGAAGGCGTGCCCATGCTTAGGATCTTACATGAGAAAATCGTCTATTGATGATATACATGAGCATCACCATTGAAAAATCCACCCAACCACCATTACTGCAAAACAATCATAGAACATCAAATGTCATGTGACGTTTTGATGTTTCATCTTCACGTCACAGGCTTAACCCACTTAGCTTTAGCAATGTTGTGTCTCTGTGAATTGTGATACTTTGTCTTTTCCATTACGGGTCCTAGTCCGAGAACGCAAGTCATCTTTATTCTTTGCTCTTTCTTTCCCTAGAAGTAAATTATAAATTATTTCTTCTATTTTTATAAAAAAATTATATAGCCTCCCTAATTTTAAAAACTAATTAATTAGTTTTTTCGTGTATCTTATGTTCTATTTCAATTTTTTAAAATAGAAAGATAAAATATATATATATATATATATTACAGAAAGATTAGTGAGAGAAAAAAATAAATTACTATTAAATTAAGTATAATCAATACTGATAAGAAAATAATTAATTAGATTTTGAAACTAAAATGAATATTTAATTTATTTTTCAAAATTAGAGAGACTATGGAATATATATAGATATAATGAAAGAGAATAATATGATATGTTGATCTCTTAAAATTTTTAGAAACAAAGAAGAAGGAAATACACTATTTTATTAAAAGAACTACATATAGGATTAGTTTAGAAATTTATATAAATAATAAAAGATGTTTTGTCACCTAAAAACTGATGGAAACGCATGTTTTCTATAGAAAGCATGAAAGAAAAAAAATCAAGAGAAGGAAATACGCTATATATATTTTCCAAAACTAGTTCTAAGTTGGAGAAAAAAAAAAAAAACATGTTTTCTAATTTTTTAAATGAAAAATATAATATTTGAACACAATTTTTAAAATTTTTTTTTATAGAGATAGAGTTTTAAAAAACAGATTTATTTTTTATATTTAAACACGACCAAAAAATTTATATTGGAATCTTCTCCTCGAATTTTATATATATATATATATATATAAGAGAAGGCACAAAGCCAGTAAGAGAAAATTGATATATCTATATCATATTAGCTTAAGTTTCGGATGTAAGACAGGTAAGAAGTCATCCATGTCAATGTGAAGGAAGTAATATTTCATATAATTTGTATATTCATTTTATTTGAGGCAAAAGAAAACGGTGAAATAAAAAAGATGAAGAAATAATCGTTGGTAATGCATCTGATTCTTTAACTTGCTTGCCTGACGGACAGTGATGCAGACTTGCTCCAAAATCATAAGGCTCTGCGTGGTCCAGAAAGCCCACTCTTAAATTTTCAAAACTTTTCCAATTTCTTTCAAGGCCATTTATGTGGGGATAGGATGCATTTTCTGCCTGCCTTAGATCAAATCTTACTCACCTGAGACATTCAAGAGAAGATGACAGATTAATTACTGCAATGCCGATCCAAACGAATGTTTTCTTCTTCTTTTTTCGGTGGAGGAATTAAAGGAGCTTGGACTATAAAATTCCATTGGAGACTAAAAATAATAATAATTAAAAAAAATTAAAATTAAAAATATCTCATTTTAATGGTCAGAATTTTCCTTCGTTATAGTTGCAAGCAAGCCATAGAAAGCAACAGAACAAAAACCAAATATGCTTCTCTGCAACTGCAAACCTTCAGTACTTAAGATGATTCGGTATTATTCTCCATCTAAAATCAAATCCATGGCTACTGACAGAACCACAGCAACTGCTCCGCAGAGAAGGCCCATGTCGGCCTTCGAAGCTCGAGTCTCTCTTGTCTTTGCTCTCGCTTCTCAGGCTACCTATCAGTCTCAAAGACGTAAATGTTAATTATCTCTCGTAATTATCATCATAATTCTGTTTTTCTTATTTGTTTCTTTCAAATTAATTTAATTTACTTTTATTTTTCTCGCAGTTTTATTCGATTTCGCTAATGAAACTACAAAATACGTGTTTCCGAAGAGATACGAGAGCCGGAATTTGGAGGAAGCATTGATGACAGGTGCTTTTTGTTTTTAAATTTCTAATTTTTGAAGCTGAACAACTTGCATGGTTTGGCCCTTCTTCTTTTGAATAGTTTTGAACTGTCGTTTTTGGGTTCTATTAGTTCCAGACCTTGAAACATTAAAGTACAAGGTACTGAGCAGGAAAGAACAGTACGAGATTAGAGAAGTTGAGGTACTTGTAATATTATTCTTGTCAATTTTTTCTCTATTTATCTGTAAAAGTTGAGTTTATGAAGTATTTTTTTCAAAAACAAACAGCCTTGCTTTATCGCGGAGGCAACAATGCCAGGGAAGACTGGATTTGATTTCAATGGTGCATCTCAGTCTTTCAATGTTTTAGCAGAGTACTTGTTTGGTAAGGTAGTTAGGATCATAAATATATATCCTGATCAGTTGAATTGGTTTAGTGTGTCTTTTCCCCTTTTTTTCTCAAATAACCATTCATTGTTAATCTATATGTTCCGTTGGATTTAGAATACAATGAAGGAGAAAATGGAAATGACAACACCTGTTATTACGCGGAAGACCCAATCTGATGGAGCGAAAATGGAAATGACTACACCAGTGATAACGAAGAAGGTAATTTGCTGAATGAGTTTACTTTCATTTGATCATGGCATGTTTAATTATGTTTCGATTTAATGTTGCCACTACTTCACTTAGATGGAAGATCAGGATAAGTGGCAGATGTCCTTTGTCTTGCCATCCAAGTACGGTGCTGATTTGCCTTTGCCAAAGGATCCATCTGTGAGGATTAAAGAGGTTCCAGGGAAAGTAGTTGCAGTTGTTGTTTTTTCAGGTTTTCCTTCCACCATAAACTGATTTGACTGCTATATATATTTTATATAAACAATGCATCTTCTCATCTGTATTTAAATTATACTACAAAAATATCAGTTGGTCAAGGTTTTATACATGAAGGTATAGATTTAGTAATTTGGTAAAATACCTACTAAAAAGAGAAACTAGATCAAGACTTCATCCAGTTCATGATGTTAGTTGTGAGATCTGCATTTAATTAATTACGTGCACATATTTGTGGCATTTCTTAAGGCTCTAGCAGTTAGAATATCCTTGAATGATAAAGAAATGTTTGCTAAACTGTATAACAAGATATGGCTGCAATGTTCTATCTTTGTTGTTTGAATCAGGTTTTGTTACTGATGAAGAAGTTAAACAACGGGAATCAAAGTTGCGTGATGCTTTGAAAAATGACACAGAATTTAAAGTAAAAGATGGGGCTTCAGTGGAAGTTGCACAGGTAGAATATTGGAGATATTTGTTAATTTCTTGTTTCTTGTGCATTTCTGGCACAAATTGAACTCCAACTACCAACTTTTTATGTTTTGGTTGCAGTACAATCCACCTTTTACGCTTCCATTTACACGACGTAATGAGATTGCACTGGAAGTGGAAAGGAAGGAAGAACAGCTGCTTCACAAAGCTTCTTGATACGAACTTTTGGCCTGTAGATTGAGCGAAAGCAACTTCATCGATGCCATGTAAATGAAATCATGTTGCTTGTATAGTATAGAAGTTGGTAAAATGTTTCTTTTGAATATCAACAGTGCATCAAAACCTGTTCAACAGCAGGATATGTCATGTAATCGCCTATGAATTTTCTACAGGCATATAGCCCTGAATAACTGGAGGAAAAAAAACTCTTCGATGAATGTCAGAAATGGAATATATTTTGCTCTGATACCACAAATGTTGGATGAAATTTCAGCCGATCATGTACATGTAACAAACACTAAGCACTTTTTGTTTTAAAGATGGAATTTTAGGTCTTTCATTAATTTTCTGCTGAAACAAAACATGTAGAGTAGAGAGAGGACTGGGTTCTGTGGATTCTTCATTCTACTTAACCAGCAAGTGATCTGGGTATTTATAACTCCCACAGCTATTTAGGCGTTTGTTAGACTTTCCTACTCTGTTTGTTTCTTGTTTTATATGGGATCCTATTACATTACAGCTCGGTGCCCATATAAGTGCACTGATCAGATTTTCTCAGCCGCTGTTTTCTTTGCTAAATGTGGATTTCTTGAGCATATGATCTTTCCTCTAATTTATTCTACCTGTTCTTCATCAATATGGTATTACCTTATTTGTAATGGTTTTTAAACAGATGAAGATGAAGATGAAGATGAAGCTGGTATTTTTGTGATTTTCAATAATTTTTGGATACTTATATTCAAATTACATCATATTTCATTTTGATTTTTAGAGTTTTACAATAAAATTTTTGATCCCCTTACTGCTGAACCCTCAAGCGCTCTGCTGGCATTGGGCCTGCTTTTGCAAGCTTGCCTTTTTTTTAAAGGGGGGTGGTCTTTGGCTTTTTTCTTTATTTTTTTCCATCAATTTATATTTTTTTATTAAAGTAGATGTAAAAATTATAAAAAATTAATTTTTACTTTTTTTTACACAAACTAATGATTATTTTCCACATACGATATGTTTTAAAATTTTAGAATATATATATATTCAGATTATATTTTTTTTATTGTTTAAAATTGATATCTTTAATTTATCGTTACATATAAAAATTAGCATTAAGTTATTTACTATTTTTTTATGTAATTTTATTTATTAATAAATATGATTTATTTTCTCTACGTATGAATTTTTGAATAATTTTTTTTTGTTTAATTCTTATGTAATTAAATTTTAAAAATAGAATTCACATGTTCTATTTTCTTATTCTTTATATAATCAAATTTTATATAAACTAATTTTATATTTTTTTATTGCACTCTATTAACTTCAATATATTTTCTTATAATTATATTTTCTTAAAAATATTTTTCGATTTATGTTATACATTCTGATTCGATGAATACGATCATGATGTATAAAAAATAATATTAGAGTCATTGATTATATTAGAAATCAATTATATATTTACACATGCAATACCAATCATTTGCTATTATTTTTTTTTAACATTTTAAAATTATTTTCTTTCAAATAAAATAATGTTTTGAAAGAACCACGTAATAATTCAAATGCAATTTTTTATACTAATATTATTCATTATTTTGTAAATAAATATATATAAATCAAGTATACATATTTTCAAAAAAAAAAATCTTCTCATTGATAAAAAAGATTCATTTGTTCATTTTCATACAAGTTTTTATATTAATTGTTACTTTATTTTTTTCGATGCAATGTTATGAAAACAATATTAAAATTTTATATTAAATTTAGTTTATTACGGACTTTTATTTAAGAATAAAGGCATAAAAAAAAACAAATAGTGTTTTTTTAACTACAAAATTTATTTAAAATACAAAAAAATATCATAAATTTTGATTTGAAAATAGATAAAAAAAAATTTATTTAGTACAATAGGAATACTAATTAACATCAACATAAAACCAACTTAACTTAGGTAGTTAGTGCTGTGAACAGTAACACTGTTCACCAGCACATTAGATTCGACTGTTTACTTAGCCAGATTCCACACGGCTTACGACCTGGACCGTTTCTTCATGTCTGTTACCGTGTACAAACAACCATGGCGTGCTTCTTTATATATATATATATTATTGAAGATGCCTGATGATGTGTTCAAATTGACCCGATGTACATTTTTAAAAGGGGTAATTACACCATTGGTGTACACTTGCAATTTATTCTCAAGAGCACTTGGTTTAACTTTTTTCATTTTAATATATTTTAAAAAAATATCCATCAAATACTATTTTTTTCCTATCATATGAAAAGAAACATAGTTAAATAATAAAAATTCATACAATATATAAATAAATTCATTTTAAATTAATATGGATAAAGAATTGGAACCTTTTACCTTGATTATTATAAAATTTAGAGATTAAAATTATATTATCATTTTTCATGGTATAAAAATAATCAAATTATCAAAATAGTTTTATCAAAATTTTTAAGTCGAGGCACAATCAAGTTGTTTTAATAGGATAATACGCGTTGTTTATAAAATTTATTTAATGCAACGAATCAAAACCATGTTACACGACGTCTCAAAAATATAACAAATTCAGCAACATTATTATATCTTAAAAAAATTCACATTATTTATAAAATTTGAAACTTGAAATAAAATACCATCACTGTTATTCAAAGAAATGACAAATTTAATTATATAGTTTTTTTAAAGAATTCAGAAGACAAAGAAGAAATGGAGCTATTTTTTTTTCTCTATTATATTTCTTGTCAAATAACAAACGCCCATATATATAATTCTTAAGAGAAAGTTATGTTTTAAAGCTATAATTGTCGTTTAAATAAAAACAATAACAAATGACTAAAACAATAAATAATACTTTTTCTCACTTTTCTAATCTTATGAAAATAACCGTTTTTTACTTTTATGAAAAATAATAATTTCTAATCGTTACGAAAATAAATAATTAAATATTTTTTCTATTAATAATTAATAAAGTCTTCAATATTTTATTAAAAAATATTCCAACATACTGTCATCCAAATTCCATCAATTTTCCTATTTGTTTTTGATGATGTGACAATTCATGTTGGCCAACCATCATGAAATTTGTGGCTTTTTTTTTTTTTTTTTTATAAAACAAAAGTTGTTTATAAAATAAATCCTTTTATATGGGTAAAAAAAAAGTTCCTTTTAATTTGGAATTTTTTTTTCCCTAAAAGAGAATATCTCAAAATTTAAAGTTATTTGATCAAAGTCATTTGGCATGACATGTAAAACCGGAAAATTGATGAAAATTAGATAGAAGTATTTGATTGAAATTTTTGAAGAGTTGATTCACTCAAATATATATATATATATATATATATATATTTTGGCTTGAGAAAAGAAAGGAAAAATTAGTATATTAACAATGTAATTGTCACAAAAGTATGGTGATATTACTATAGATAGTGCCTGGTATATACGCCTCCATAACTTTCTAATATGGGAAGCCTTCCCTAAGAGATAGACCTGACAACGACAACTTAGCCCATAGGAGATCCGGTAGAGATAGATATTATTAACAATTAAATTTGTTAAATAGACTAAGATATTTATTTAGATTTTTTATTTTTATTTTTTGGGATTTAACGTTAAATGAATCGATGTGTTCTCGTTTTCGACAATTTTCGCATACACCAAAACAAGATTCTTCCTCAATCATGTTTTATGCAGTCCATAGTTTGTTTTCATATTGTTTTCATATATATATTAGCCGAGGATCTTAAGTGCTTGGAACTTCGAAGAGTATGTTAGCCGTTTCAAGATCTGTGCTTGTAAATTAATATGGACAAAGAGCTGCCCTCACCGACAACCTTAATACTCATATCATAACAAGTTTGACGTGACCATTTCCGAATCCTGCAACGTTTTATCAACGCCTGATACACATTTCTCCCTTTTACGAAACTCAACCTTAATTCTTAATTCTTATGAACGGCCGTTGATGCTGTGAAATGTTATAGACCACGACCATGACCATGACCAAGCGTTTTCGACTTAATTTGGATAATGATTTTGAATCCAAGCATATAAATATGGAAATTGCTACCATTAATTCTCAATATGATTGCCAAGTTGATAATTTTAATTAATTGAGTAATTGTCATTGGAGAGAAGCAGAAAAGGTCAAAACTGCTGCAAATTTCCAGCTAACAGTACTGTGGCTGTTGAGAATGGGATTGCTCGTGCTGGCAACATTTGGTGGGGTGACCATTTTTTCAACAAAGAAATCAAATCATTTCAAGAATCTCAACCAACTAGTTTCACTAAATAGGGTCCACCCTGGAACTAAGGTTCGCGATTATCCGTGGCATGACAATGACAAAGGAGCAGTTTTAAGTGTGGATAACTACTAATGAATAGCTAGATGTTCAATGATCGAATTTCTGGTGACTGTCATAAACACTTTTTTTAGAAAAAGGGATTTTTGTAATTTTTTTTTTAAGTAGAGGTGGTTTTTATAATATCTTTAAAAATTTAGAAGATCTTTATGATGCCTTAAAGAAGTAAGTTATCGTAATCTATCCGAATAAAAATAAATAAATTATTTTTGTCTACATAAATCAATTAATGGTTACTTCAAAAAAAAAAAAACAATTTTATGGTGTCACGGAATATATGTGATGGTATATGCTACCAACATTTTCATCGGTATAATGATGATAACACTTTAACGTTTGTTCTCATAAATTTGACTTTTTATATATATACACACACTGAAATCATGGTAATTTCAAGCAATGTAAGAAAAGGTCCAATATTTTCACTGAATGAATACTAAGTATCTCTTGATGTGTCAAAACAAAAATAAATTTGAACACGCCGACCTTGACTTGGTTTTTCTTCTTCTAGCCATTCTAATTTTAAGAATAAGTAAACAGCTTGACAAATTCAAGTCCTTTTCAAGATTACGAACTGGTAAATCCTAGTTGAAATTATAATATGCCCTGTCGCGTCATCTTCAACCGTCCTTTCACGGTTCTGAATGAATATGATTTCGGCTAATAAAGGATCGACGGCTGCGACAATTCCAATGACGTAACTGGAATATCATAAATTAGATATGAAATTTTACGAATCCCTGTATCTATGTCAACTTTATTTGTAATAAAAAAATCATAATAATTTATAAATCTCTATCCTATTAAAAGTTCTATACAGACTAATGTCGCAATAATAATTGATGAATTATGGATTATTTTAGAAATATTAGTAAATCATCGATCGTCTAATAATACTGTATGTATATCCCATGGTCGTCTTCTTTCTTATTGGATGTCCTCACAAGACTGTAATTTCGTTCCTCTATATTTTTACCTCTCTTTTACGTTACTCTTACTGACCCCTTACTAATAAACCGATATGAATGTGTGTTCTTAAAATCATTTAGAGAAGAGATTTATTATTTATTTGACAAACAAATTGGTCTGAAATTCTACCGTCGGATGAAACAAAATAAATAAATAAAATAGTGAGTTTCTATTAATTAGTAGAATTTTTTTATAATATGTATTTTGTAGATGCTATGTTTAACAATGATTGTATTATAAAAAAAAAAAACCACAACTATTTTCTCATTTTCGTTACACTATATAATATGTTTTTTAAAAACAAAAAACAAAACTGATTAAGCATTTAAATAAACGAACTCCACTTTACATGCCTTGTCCCCCCCCCCCCCCCCCCCAAAAAAAAAAAAAGCATCAAAGAAGCATAACATGATGGCAAACCTTAACAACTTACCAGTCATTATGCTTTCATTATTTGGAAAATTAGTAAATGGTCTCACTTATGATTGCCAAAGCAACCATGGATACATATTTTCATGACCATATCGATGTCGCAGCCACACCAATTAGCAAAGTCTAACCTAATAACATTGATAATAGCCTACCTCCGAAAACCTCTTCAAAATATATATTAAAAAGTTGGTTAAATCATAAAAGAATATGGTCTAGTAGTAAAAGAATTGTTTTAATTTTATCAAAATTAAAATTCAATTTTCATTGAATATGAATAACTAGTCATGATTATTTTTTATTTACATCGGGCTTGGACTAATTTAGTTTAACAAATAATTTAATAATCGATTAAAAATTAAATGTACTACGATGCTGCATTAATTTAGAAAGTGATAGATTTGATCAATATACCTCAAGGCTAAACGTTAGCTAAAAAAAATGATAAACTTGATCAATATACCTCACTATATATATATCAATGAGAAGACTTCGATATAAGATTCTTCCATCTTAATTTTTTTTTTAAATTTAAATTTAGTACAAAAGAAGAAGATTAAGGAGTATATTCATTTATTTTGATATGAAAACTGGTCTAATGATATATCTTTACCTGTAAATATTAAAGATCAAAATGAATGCATATAAAGATAGATTACAAAAACTCACATTTATAATCAGCAACACACAAGAAAGGAAAATAAATCAACCATTTTATTATAAATAAATCAATTGATCCTTTGAATTACTCTGCCGAATCTTACTATCTACATCTTATTATCCACCTAAACTTTTCAACTGACCTTATAACACGGAAAGTTAATAATTAATTTTTGTAAAAAAAGAAATTTTCATTGATTCAATCTGGAACTCGAATAAAGAGAAGAATTATATTTAAAATAAAATAACTATTTAGAAAAAAAGGAAGAAAATTAAATAATGATAAACGACATAAAATAAGACTAGTCTAAAAATTTCACATGACATGGAAAAAATATCGTACATAGCAAGATTTGATATAGCGCAATAAAAACTTTGTACTCCGGGGAGTTTTAGCATCTTGGTAAAGAAAAACAGTTGTCGCTCCATATATATTTTGGTTAATGGCCCATGTGGTCTTTCTATTACAAGCAATAGATTAATCAAGTCCTTATACCATAATGGTGGCGTACCAACTTAAGTATTAATGGGTTAACAGTTGCAGAGGTTGTTTTATCTTTTGTCTTTATTGTGTTTTCTATTCTTTTTCATTTTAAACTCATCCATTTACATTTGATTTTTGTCTTAATCTTGTTCTTTTGTTAATTTTGGAATTAACGATGCTAACTTGTTGTTTTTTTTTTTTATCTTAATCTCATCTTTCTATTTTATTTTTCTGTTTTAATTTTTTAATGCCAAATTTAAATAAATAAAAGCTGGAAAAATAGAAAAAAGATAAATTATATCTTGCCATTCTATCTAAAAAAAGTGAAGCTAAAAAATATTTTTTTATCCAGTATATTCTTTATGGGTTTAATTTTATATCTATGATAATAAATCAATTTGAAGTCTAAAATAAAATATTTGTAGTATTATTTTTTTTAATGTAAAGAGAGTTTGAGTTAACCTTTTTAAATGTTATTTGTAATTCTATAATACTTCAAAAGAGTCTACCATAATTTACTTATTTTGATTTTATAAGTTTTTTGATTTGACCCAAAATGAAAATATAAATATTAGAAATTTTAATCAAATTAAAAAATTTATTAATGTTGGATCCAACACTAACAAAAATTTATATTTCCACTTTTGATTCAAATTAAAAAAATTTATAAAATCAAAATAAGTAATTATAACATATTACAAAATAATAAATACCATTCAAAAGTTAAAAATTTTGACTGAAATTATCTTCACATTTTTTTTTTAAAAAATACTATAAATATTTTATTTTATTCTTCAAATTTGCTTACTATCATAGAGATATGTTTAAATCCATAAAATATATTTTGGATGAAAAAAACATTTTTAGCTTCACTTTTTTTCAAATTTTAAAGAGAATTGCCGAATATATTTTTATTTTTTTTCTATTTTTAAAATTTGGTTAAAAAATTAAGATGAAAAATTATAATAAGAAGATGAGATTAAATAAATAAAAAATAATAAATCAACACTATTACCTAAAATTTAATAAAGAGGCGAGATTACGACATAAATCAAACGAAAAAAAAAGTAAATAAACATTATAAAACAAAAGAAATAGTAGAAAAATGCCTGCAACTATTACCCAAAGTGTTAATTAAGTCTTCATATTAAATTAATTTGTTTAATGTGAATTTTTTTATAGTAATTTCATCAAGTAAATTGTATAATGAAACAACTATTACCCACAGTGTTAATTAAGTCTTCATACTAAATTAATTTGTTTAATGTGAATTTTTCGATAGTAATTTCATCAAGTAAATTGTATAATCAAAAGATACATGTATTTATGTATTTTAGTTTTATTGATTCTATTAATTATTTTTTCTTACTTTGATTTTGACGACTCAGTTAATTATTTTTTTCTTCTAATTTTTTATTACGTAACCTGCTACTTTTAAAATGCTTGTCTCAGTTGTCTGTCCTTTTTTTTAATATATAATTTCAATAAATACTTTATATGATAAAAAAAATAAAATAAAACTATATCTAACGACATGAACGAAGTAAAAAACACATGTCGTTTTGTAACACAATTAATTTAATTTTTTGTAGCATGGGGACAGTAGGTATCCTTTAGATTTCTCCTTCCACACCTGAGTCAGCCCATCCTTGGCTCATAAGCCAGGTGTATAACAGCAACTAACTATGCTGCCCTTGTCCATTTTTTTTTTTTTTTTTTTAAAGGTTACGTATATGCGAAAAATATAGAACCAACAACAAGATAATTGAAATAAAAATAAAAATCAGTTTAGTTAATTAACTAAAGAACAAAGATAAAGACGTTTCTTTTCTATTAATTAGTTTCCAAAAAATCTGTAATAAAAGCCGTTTATGCAATATTCACTTCTTTTATTTTATTTCCTCGTTTAATCTTTTTCTCTTTCTTCCTTAATTATCCTCTACTGTCCTCACTGCCTCTCTCTCTCCAAAATTCTCTCTCTTCTTGATATATCTCTCTGTCTCGCTGTGCCTACATCGGATTAATTGCCGCCGTCCGATAAACTGACCAGCGTTTCATCGATCGGTTCAAATGATTCCTCATTTTGTTTCCCCTCCGGTCAAATTTCTCTGCGGTTCGGTTCTCCATCCGGTACAATTCATTTCAAATCCCTAGCTCAGATCCAATTAATCCTCCTTTTCTTTGTTTTCTTAATGATTTTTAATGACTGGATCAAACATTTGATTCACTCTTATGGGTTATTATTCCCTGTACACTGATCCATCAAAACTTTCAATCACCACCGCCTGATTGTTCCACTCTAGTTAATCAATCACAATTCTTTTAGGTTTAGGGTTTGTTGTTATTTGAATTGAGAAATGTTGAGGAAAATCATGAAAGGAGGGCATCGGAAGCCCTCCAAATCAGACGGTAATGATTTCGGGTTCGGGCCACCCCGAAACTCCGGGTCTGGTCCTGCAAACAATGTGGTTGTGAACCATGCGTCCCGGGCAGCTCCTGGCCCACCAAGCCCACACACTGGACCCGCAATTGTTGCTCCGCCGCCAATGAATACGGTGGAGCCTCTCCCCTTGTTCCGGGATGTGCCGGTTTCAGAACGTCAGAACCTGTTCTTACGGAAACTCCAGGTATGCTGCTTCCATTTAGACTTTACGGATACCTTAAAATCGGTGCGAGAAAAGGAAATCAAGAGGCAAACTTTATTGGAGCTTGTGGATTTTATTCAATCCGGTTCGGGAAAGATTACGGAGAATTGTCAAGAGGAAATGATAAAAATGGTTTCAGTGAATATATTCCGGTGCTTGCCTCCAGCTTCGCATGAGAATACAGGGCAAGAATCCGCTGATCCTGAAGAGGAGGAGCCTTATTTGGAACCATCTTGGCCTCATTTGCAGCTTGTTTATGAGCTTCTTTTAAGATATGTTGTGTCATCAGATACAGATACCAAGGTTGCCAAGAGGTATATTGATCATTCGTTCGTGTTGAAATTGCTTGATTTGTTTGATTCTGAGGATCCGCGAGAGAGGGAGTATTTGAAGACTATTCTGCATAGGATTTATGGCAAGTTTATGGTGCATCGTCCGTTTATCAGGAAGGCTATAAATAATATTTTCTATCGTTTTATTTATGAGACTGAGAGGCACAGTGGGATTGGGGAATTGTTGGAGATTCTAGGGAGTATTATAAATGGGTTTGCGCTGCCGATGAAAGAGGAACATAAGTTGTTCCTTGTAAGGGCGCTTATACCATTGCATAAACCAAAGCCAATATCGGTGTACCACCAGCAGCTGTCTTATTGTATCACTCAGTTTGTTGAAAAGGATTACAAGCTGGCAGATACTGTTATTAGGGGTTTGTTGAAGTATTGGCCAGTGACTAATTGTCAAAAGGAAGTTCTCTTCCTTGGAGAACTTGAAGAAGTTCTGGAAGCAACACAATCTGCAGAGTTTCAGCGCTGTATGGTCCCTCTTTTCAGACAGATTGCTCGCTGCCTTACCAGCTCCCATTTTCAGGTTTGTGATTGTTACAACTTGCTAAGCTCGTAATCTTTATTTGTCAGAAATTTGGATAAGTTGTGCCAAAAGTGCCTTTGGATGTGTTTCCAAATGATAGATGTGCATCTGTTGCTAAGGGAGCAACTCATGGTTGTTTGAGACGAATGGTTTTTGATGATGTCTACATTGCTTGTGCTGTGTGTATGATGTACTTTTATTCTTATTCTCTTTTTTTTTATTTTTTTTCATTTCCGTCTGCATTTAAAATTCCTCTCCTTGCTACACTTTCAATCTTGCATTATACATGTAATATGTTGCCTTGTCATTCATGACATTTACTGGTGTTTAATGAGTTGGCGTTCTGCCTGGATTTACAGGCGATCCTCTTTGTTGGCTACTTCCCTTCTCTGTATCGGAACTTGATCATGGATTAGCCGTTCTCTTATTATTTGTATGTTGTTAGTGAGATGCATATTAATACATTCTATTTGAAAGGAGAAATCAGAAGCTTTTACCTATTATTTTCCAGGGGAAACTTTCTGTTTCATTTTATCTAATGGTTGTGGTCTTCTTTGCCTACGTGTGCTCTTCTTACTTGCCATGAATTAAATGCAGTTGTCTTAAACTTCAGTTGCCTTTCATGATCATACTAGGTTTATCGCTTTCTTTTTTCCCTTACAATCATGGAGACTAAAGACGTGAGAATATATATATTTTTTTTAACTAGGACAATTTGTGGGTTTATGTGATTATTAACTGTACCCGTGAGGTCGCTTTTGTTATTCTGTTTTTTCTGAACCAAATTGGCAGTTCCTGTCTCCCAGCTGAAAATGTTGTTGATCATTCTAATCTTTCCTGATGCTTTCAACTTATGCATGTTTCTCAAAGATGTTTCCTAGAGCTGAATGTAACATGATTAGTTTTGGAGTAAAATACATGTTGTGATGAATAAGATCAAAAGCTGATTCTGTTGTAAGGTCATCAGCTGCAGTTTTTGAGTTTTTATTCTTCCATCTCTGCACTGGTCCTTTGGTGCGATTCAGAAGTCTGAGTCGCAAAAATTCTTTTTATCATTTATTCTCTTTGCAGTGCAAGTTGCTTGATGCTGATGAATATTGTCCATTTTGTCTCTTCTTGCTTATTTCCACCTTCAATCCGCTAGCCATGGGTAATGAAAGTGAAAGCCAAAACATGTTTCTTTCTTTTTCAATTTTTGCTGCAAGCTTATCTTTTGTAGAAATTTTAAGGCCGTTGTAGTGTTCCCGAGAATTTGCTTCCAGTTACAAGTTATTGCTGCACCATGATTGTACTTTAAGATCCTGTTTGTTCAAGATATATTTTCTTTGGGATTAGTTCTTCATGAACTTGATCAATGGTAGTTGTTAATTTATAGCATATGGTGTTTCTTTGATGAGCTCACAGGGTCGGTTCTTAGTTTTCCTTAGATATACTATTTCTTTTTATGTCTGAAGCCACTTTTTCGTTGTTCTTGTGTTCCCCGTTAGAAATTAAAAAAAAAAAAAAAGGTAGTTTGCCAATTTTTTTTGTTATGTTTTGTTTCCAAATTATGCATAGCACATTTTATATTTAAACCAATGTTTTGCATGTTGCATATTAATGGTGAAATCATTCACTTGGGCTTGTAAAGGTTCCAATAATTAGAAAGGGGGTGGTTGCACAAGCCGATGCAGTAATGCATTCTTGTATGCAGCTACAGGGAATGGTGTTTGTGGCTGAGAACCATTTAGCCAGTTTTTTGTTTTGTTCTTTTTTTTTTTTTTTTTTCCAAGGGAAAAATCAAAGTTCCAGAAATTATGGTGGATGCATGAGACTAAACCTCGACTTTCATTTTGTCAAGGATTCTTGAAGTTGTATTTAGATTGACCTTGTTGCCCTAAGATTTCTTCTTATCTATTTGGCTTCCTTCCTTCCATTTTTTATTTATTTCAGTTGGCCTTCTGGAATTGTCCGGAAGCCTGTTGGATAAAATTACTCCACACATACACTTGGCATTATTTTGTAATCACTTTATTGGAATAGGAATATCCTATTTTATTTTAGAAGTCTTTGCTTAGGCAAATTTCTGTTGGCAGGTTGCTGAACGAGCTCTGTTTTTCTGGAATAATGAGCACATTGTGAGTTTAATCGCCCAGAACCGAAGTGTAGTTTTGCCAATTATTTTTGAAGCATTGGAAAAGAATATACAGAGTCACTGGAACCAGGCAGTTCATGGGCTGACCATTAATGTTCGGAAAATGTTCTTGGACATGGATGCCGAGTTGTTTGAAGAGTGTCAGAGGCAGCATGCGGAGAAAGAGTCTATGGCCAGAGACGTGGAAGAGCAGCGAGAATTGACATGGAAGAGACTGGCTGATGTAGCAGCACAGAGAGGTGGGGACGATATGATCACTGTTTAACTGGTTTCTTATGGTCAGACGGTCACGGTCCATGCAAAAAATGGAAGGATGGGATACGAGGGAAGTGCTCGACGATATCCCCATTTTTTGGTGCTATTATTCTTTTTTCAATTTTTTTCTTTCCATTTTAAATTTTGATCTCAACCCAATCATTAAAGATGTCAGAAAAGGCAGCCATAGTTGTAATTTGTAATGTATGGAATTTGTTAGCATTATGCTGCACATGAAAGAATGATTTGTGAGTATCTCTTTTGATTTCTTTTTTCTTTTCTTTTTTATGAAAGAATCTCCTTGTCATAGAAGGTAGTGTATCTTTTTTTTCCAGTTGAACTATTTAGAAGTAATTTTTCTAAACGTCGTTCTTGTGGGTTATTAATATTTGATGAAAAAACATTATTGCGAAGGTGAACGCCTAACTTTGCGATGATACAATGGGCTGGAACTACTGCACCAACTACAATATGCTGGAACTTTCGTGTACACACACACACATATATATATTTTCTAAACGTCGTTCTTGTGAGTATTTTTTTTTTTTTATTGTTTTAAAATATATTAAAAAAAATATAAATAGTATTTAAAGATCGATGAGAAAATAAAACTTTTTTTACAACAAAATAATATTAAATTAAACGTAATTAATATAGATTAGAGAACTAATTTCTTAGTTTTTGAAACTATATAATTTATTTTGTAAGATTAAATAGACTAATTTATAATTTAATCTGGATGTTACATTTAAATGTGCTTGTGGTCTTCTATCATTGGGTGGAAAATCATGGCATTATTATGTTCGAATATTTTTTCGTGGAAAATAATGACAGTGTTTCGAAACAACAAATGCTAACAATCTTCTAATGAAAAGAAATTAATTTCAAATCAAGATATACCATAAAATAGTATGAATGAGTTTATTTAATTTTATATTCAATTAGCTTTTCTTCTTCTTCTTATGTTTTTTTTTTCATGTGTATAACTAGAAAGAAAAATATATTTAAATTCAATTCTATCAATCCAATTTCAAAAGTTTCTTATTATTAACGTTTTTTTTTTTTTTTTTTGAAAAAGAAAAAGGAAAAACAGGCCTCCAAATTTGAGAAGAACTAAAGCAAGATTTTTTTTTCTAATGTCTATTGTCAAATCCAATTTCCTTTTATCTGGCAATTGCACCTTCCTTCCTCTCATCTATCTATCTGGCTTATCTATATCTAACCTTTCTTCTCTTCCTAACCTTCCATCTCCTTCTTCCTCGGCATAAACCATAATAATCTCCTCCTCTTCTTTCAATATCTCACAGTTATTAGCAAAACCCTAATTAGAGGCAGAAGCAGAAGTAGCAGAGAGAGGGAGGAATGCCAAAGAAAGGAGGGACAACACCTGGGCTTCAAAAGGATGTCCCATGGAGGGTATCAACTTCAAAACCCATTCCCAAAATTCACCACTCTCCTATTCTCCGCGTCTCTCAAAACCCATTTTCCAATTATGCTCTCTCTGTCATGAAGCACCCTAATCCCATTGAAACTGGCTTAGCTACTGAAGCGCTTGTGGAAGCTGCTGGTCCTGATTGTATTGTCCCTGGCCAGATTACACCCATCCGTTTACTTGGTCTTAAGGTCTTCTTCTTCTTTCTTTCTTTCTCTTCTTTAAATTTTAATGATGTTATTAATCTTAAGTTCTTTCCCTTTCCATATGCTGTTATTTAGTACCCTTCTTCTTGGGATTTATTTAGAACCTACTGTTATTCAACTTATTGATTAGAAAAATCATTTTCTATTTCTTTCTGAACATATCTTTTTTGCTCCCAACTAACACGTAACTATAGGTTAAATTGAGCATTATGATGTCTGATTCTTTATGCTCACCATTTGAGCTTTGTATTATCAATGACGAGCCATCAATCGTGCATTACAATGTGTATCGGAGGAATTTCACCTATGTTTGAGTCATGGGTGGTGTCGCAGCTTATTTGCATCAAGCAATAACGCGAACGGAATTGATTTTTGCAATTTGTCACTCTATAATTCTTGAAAGTTCTCGGAGTTATTTTTCGTAATTACGTAGTTTTTTTTTTTTTTTTGACAGGTTTGGCCTATTGAGGTTGACCTGAAATTTATGGAACCTGTTGGACGAGAGCTTAAGTTACTTGGAAAGGTAACCACTTATCGTAGCATAACTTTGTTCTAGTGATTGTTTTAATGATATTTGCATTTAGTGATGTTTTTGGAGTGGAAATAGCTATGCCCCTGCTTGGAGCATCATGCTTTTTGTGTGATCAATTAAGTTTAGATTTAGTTGGAAGGATCTTACATCTTACAATTTGATCAATAGATTCCTTAAATGGTCAGAACTACCCTGGTGATTTTTGTTTAACCTTTCTTGGGATCTGCCATGCTTTTAGGCCTTGCTCTAATCCTGGAATGATATTTAAATTAAAGAGAGGCACATATGCAGATTAACTGTTGTAATCCAACCAATTTGGAATTATAATGGAACTGATCAGAAGAGGAAAAATATGAGAGGACTAACTTGAAGTAATTTTATTATCTTATGTTTTTCTAATGCATATAGTGAAAATGGACTTAAAAGTAATATTAGGAAATCCGTACTCATGTCAATTTAAATAGCCTCTAGAAATTTCCACAAATGGGTGACCTCTTATTGGTTCAATTTCACATTCACAAACTGGGAGCATGAGTTGTGGTTCATGAATTTTCAATCATCCAGTCAGTATTTGCCTGATTACTGTGGTTTTACAGATCCTTTCATTGAAATCCATTCACATTTCCATAAAGACTAGCGGAGTTACGTATGAGAAATATACCTTGCTTGGTAGTTGAGAAGTTGGGGAAGAACTGATCCTTGCTTTTTATTGTCTGATTCTGACTGGATTGTTGGATGTTATCGAAAATGAGAATATTTTATTATGTTTTTTTTCCGACGTTTGAATGTAAATAAGGATTTTAATTAGAGTTATTGTATGAATTTCTTCTGAGTATTTTGCCTATTGCACAACAATAGATCCATTTCAAACGTTTCAAAGACAAGCGAACTGTTAAAAATAGAGTTGTCAAATTGGACTGTTAGTTTGCACGACCAGTCCAGGTACCTGCCTATTAGTGGTCAAGTATTGTTTCTGTTTTTGATATTGGAGGCACTTAATGATTTGTATGACTCATTGATATATCATCAACTAGAACAAGATATTTATGGTCATAAAGTATGATTTTCAATGGTTGATAGATAAGTCACTTGCAGTTACATTTGTGTCAGATTAGCTTGTTATACATCCAGCATCTTGTGTTATGGTTTATTTTAGAAAGGAGATCGTTACTTGTCAGTGAATTCCTCTGGTAGAACATAACAAAACTGTAAATCCCATTTTCTGTTGTGGAAGACTATTACTACCTAAAGGACTAGTTTCTTTTTCATTTTTGTTTTTTCTTTACTATTATAAAGAGATTTTATATCTAATTCATTTTCAGCAATCTAAGTTTATAATTTTTATGTGGTGCCCATTTAAACATTTTTATTTTATCCTACAAGTTTGTTAGGAAATGAATGAATAAAATATTGTATTGATAAAACATGCATATCTATGTTTCTATGGAGTCTTATTTGTGGGTTAATGTTCTTGTCTATGTAGTTCATGGATGATGCTGTCAACCTGATGAACAAGTCATTTGTAGATCGCTAGTCGGCTGGCTTTTTTGGTTATTGCTGGCAGCTGCAGTTTGGGTTCGCCATTAGCAGAAAGCCTAGCCAAGCAGAGTTACTGTAGATAAAATCTCCTTTTATGTTCTCTTCTTGCCAATTTTAAGTTCCAATGACAATTTGAAGTCAGGATTTCGACAGTTCTATGTTGGATGCTGATGAGGATTCTGTTTCTTCAATGTTCTTTTGGCCCTACAGTTTTGTCCTACGGATGTTTTCTTTTACAATTAAATGACATCAAAATTTGACAGTTGCTTAAATCAGGTCTGGAGTATGTAGTTTTAATGTTCTGTAAAGCCTCGTTCAAGGATTATTATTGGTTTATGATATACAAATTATCTGATAGCATCCGATTCAATTGATGCACTACTTGTGTGGTCTTTAGGTGATGGAAAAATATTTTGGCTGTAGCATGGAAAAATGTAAGAGCAAAATAATGTTCAGAAATAAGCATGAAGTGAGTGATGTTTCTTGGGGACTTCTCTAATTTATATCTGAACTATTCTTTGACTCGATGGTTAAGAGTTAAAATGTTGTTTTTGTCATCACTAGAACAACATGTTTTTAGTCCGAACGGTCCTTTAAAAGATAAAGAATAATGCTAGAGGTATTTAATTTTTTTACTAAGATTTGTTAGGTATTTCAAATCACGGAATGTTGGTCTCATTTAATGGAAAATTCGAATGGAAACATTAATAAAGCACTAATCACAAAGTGTTAAAAAAAATTGCAAAAAAAGAAAAAAAAAAAAAAAAAAAAAAAGAGAAAAAGAAGCTAAAAGATTTAGGGTGAGTTACCATTTACAATACTATTCACTCAGATTTATGCGATGATGTGCACTATTTATTTTCACCATGTAGTGTTATTTTTGTGATTTTTAAGTTTTTTTGGGCATTTATATGCAAATTTGATATTATATTTTATTTTGATCTCAAATATTTTCAAAGATATTTTTGATCCCCAAATGGACCTAACATGCATTCATGCTTGCTCCTTTTTTTTTTTTTTGGGGTATTAAAAAATTAATAGATTTAGGGTGAGTTATTATTCATGATACCATTCACACACTCATATACATTATTTACTCAGATTCATGTGCATTATTTACTCAAATTCATGTGCATTATTCATTTTTACTTTGTAATATTATTTTAGTGATTTTCAAGTGTTTTTGAGTGTTGATATGCAAATTTGAGATTTTATTTTATTTTGATCTCTAATATTTTCAATGAAATTTTTTTATCCCTAAATGGACCATGCATGCTTGCCCTTTTTTTTTTTTTTTCCTCCTATCAATTTATTTTAATTTTTTTTATTATTGAATTGGGTGGAAAATTATGAAAAGTCAATTGTTATTTTTTTTTTCATGCAAGTCGGTGATTATGAAATATATACGATATGTTTTCAGATTTTAGAATAGATATTACTTTTATTATTTAAAATTGATCTTTTCAATTTGTCGTTTTTTATGAAAATTATTATCAAATTAATTTTTTATTTTTTATGTAATTTTATTTGTTAATAAATATAATTTATTTTTCTCTATGCATGGATTTTTGAAAATGTTTCTTTTAAATAAATAATCAATTAAAAAAATTAAATTTACATATTTTATTTGCTTATTTTTTATATACTAAAAATTTATCGAATCAATTTTATAATTATTTTTTATTACAGTCTATTAACTTCAATATATTCTTTACAACTTAAGTTTTTTTAAAAATATTTTTCAATTTATATTGTTTACTCTGACTCACTAAGTATGATTATGATGTATAAAAAAAATTAGAATCATTTGTTTTATTAGAAATTAATTATGCATCTAAATATATAACACCAACCATTTGCTATTATTTTTTTAAAAAAATTCTAAAATTAATTTTTTTCAAATAAAATAATTAAAATAATATTTTAGAAGAACCATCCAATAATTCAAATATAATTTCTTTTATACTAATATTATTCATTATCTTTTAAATAAATATATATTAATTAAATGTACATATTTTTTTTAAAAAAATAATATTCTCATCAGTATTAAGCAAAAAAAAAAAAGAAGTCATTTGTTAATATTTATACAAATATTTATATTAATTGTTACTTGCAATCATATTGAAAAAAATATTAAGACATTTTTAAAAAAATTTATTTAGATTATTATAGGTTTTTATTTAAGAATGAATACATAAAAAATAACAAATCGTGTTTTTTTTTAACTATAAATTTATATAAAAAAAACATAAAGAAGAATAATTAAATACAAAATTCTGATTAAAAATTATAAAATTAATTTTATAGTATTAAAAAAAATTAATAGTAAATTGTTGTTGGTGTTATGTGTGTAAATACATGGTTAATTTTTAATAAAACAAATTATCTCGGTTTATATATGTATATCATGATCATACTCAGTGAGACAAAGTGTGCAACATAAATAAATAATTTTTTTTTAAAAAAAAAACTTAAGTTGTAAGTATATATTGAAATTAGTAGACTCCAATAAAAAGAACTACAAAATTGGTTTCGATATATTTTAATTATATAAAAATAATTTTAAAAAACTTATTAAAAAATCCGTATATAGAGAAAAATATATCATATTTATTAATAAATAAAATTATATAAAAAAGAATAAAATTAATTTGATGGGAATTTTCATTAAAAAAAATAGCAAATTAAAGCGATCAATTTTAAATAATAAAAATCGTGTTTTTTTCATTACAAAATTTATGAAAAACGCAAAGCAAAATAAATTAAATATAAAATTTTGATTAAAAATTATAAAATTAGACGATTTTTTTTTTACTTTTACTTTTATATATTTTCGTTGAACAATAATATAGTGTAAATTATCAAACTCGAAGTAAATATAGTTTATTCAGCTCGTAGCATAGCGTGAGAAGCCAACTAGTACAAAACACTAAAAGATCTAAAAAAGTACTATTCACATGACTATTCACTCACACTCAATGCATTATTTATTTAGACTCATGTGTAACGTTAATTTTTATTATACTTGTGGTATTTTCGTGATTTTTGGGTTATTTTAAAGTATTTATATGCAAGTTTTGCTCAATGTTATACTTGGTCTCTCATGTTTTCAAGAAATTTGTTTTCATCTCCAACTTCATTTATATCACATTTTGATCCATGTATTTTTTTTTCCAACAAATTTTTATTGTTTTTTTTTTTAATTATCGATTTTGTGCTAGATTTATGTAAAAATGATCATTGTCATTTTTTATTTTTCATATAGCTTGGCGATGAAGAAATATGATTATTCGATTTGTCATTTTTATTAATATTTTAAAAGAACCACTCAATGATTCAAATATAGTTTTTAATGCTATGTTATTAATTATTTTGTGTGTGTGTGCGCACGTGTGTGTGTATCAAATGTATATACTTTCAAAAATATAATCTTCTCATAGCACTAAATAAGAAGAAAATTTATTTTTTTATTTGTTAATTTTTAAACAAGTTTTTACATTAATTGTAACTTTAATTTTTTTTATATAGAACCTTATGAAAAAAATATTAAGTTTTTTTTTTAAAGAATTTTAGATTTTCTATTTAGATATTATTACATGTTTTTATTTAATAATCAATGCGTACAAAAGAACAAATCATTTTTTTTTCAATTGAAAATTTATTAAAAAAAAACATAAGAAAGAATCAATTAAAAACAAGATTTTGATTAAAAAATTATTAAATTAAATTTTTATTTATTTATCTTTGATTTGCTATATTTTAATAGACATGTAACATAATTTGCAGTATCAAATTGAAATGATTTGGTTCTATCCAATTTGGGAAGGTAGCGCAGGCAACAAACTAATATTAATTCTTGCCAGTGATTCCAGTTTAAGATAGAGAGGAAAAGTAATCCAAGAGTTTGCACGTCCAACATGATTAACACTTACGAGTAAAAGTCCTTGTTGAAAATTCAAATGCTCCTAGTTGAAGTTCTTAACTAATACAAGATAGCAATACTGTAAAAGACTAAAAGGTGAGCTGCTACCGCGATAATGACATGCCTAAGATGCACATTATGCACATTACTCGTCTAACACATGTATTTGCTGCTTCTATAAATCTAAGGAAAAGCTAAGAGAAGATCTATATAATATAGATACAGATCATGGTATCCGGCTACCTTCCAAAACATTATCTCAATTAATCCTCATGTTCTTTGAAGGATTAATAACCATATCCTTTCTCTTTCAAGTAATCATATCTTAAATACTGCATTCCTGACGTTTTATGATAGGCAAAGACAAAAGCCATCTGTAAAATGTATGACTAGTAGTAGCTGTAGTAGAAGTGATGGACAACGTTTGAAAGTAATGCCAAAAATGGTGATGCATAAAGGGATCACAACTCCATCCATCTTCATATCATTATAATTGAAAAAGTTTCGGATGTCCAAATTAAATGCATGTTAATTTGATTTCAAGTAAGCCAATGGTGGTGTTCCCACAAACTAGTGCTCTCCACCTATGGTGCCATGTAAGATTTTCTGGTCTCCCTTTCTTTTGCTTTCCCCCTACCATTTGCCACCTTCTTCAACATATATGAATGTGAAAACCTCTCCGAAATAGTCATTACAATAATGGCTTGTCAAGGAGAAAATTTGCGTAAAGGGCCTTGGCTTAAGGATGAGGATGAACGATTAACAGCTTTTGTAACCCTTTTAGGGGAACGAAAGTGGGACTCCATGGCAAGAACATCAGGTAGAAATAGGATCCTTAAGAACGAAAGCAAGAGATCATGTGTTATTGATTTCTTTAATGGATTCCATCTTATGTATTCACTTGCAGGTCTAATGAGGAGTGGTAAGAGTTGCAGGCTGAGGTGGCTGAACTACCTTCGACCCAATATTAAGCGCGGTCATATAAGTGCTGAAGAAGAGCAAATTATCATACAACTTCATCAGCAATGGGGTAACAGGTAATGTTCTTTCTTGTGCTAGCCTGACAGTTCTAAATAATTAAAAGCAAACTATTGGCATCCCAATTTTTTCTCTAATTATATTCTCTTGCAGATGGGCAAGTATTGCTCGAAGGTTGCCCGGAAGAACTGATAATGAGATCAAGAACTACTGGAGAACTCATTTGAGAAAGAAAACTCAAGCCCAAGAAGAAGGTGCATGCAGTGCAATTCTATTATTCTTCCTGGCATGGAAAAATAGTTATTTGCTTTTTGTGCTTTGGTAACACCCAATTACACAGCTTAACTAACAAACCTGTTTTCTGGACAGGAAATTTTCAGTCCAAAGTACTCAATTCCAAACAAGATTTTTCGTATCAAAATGGCGACAGTACTAGTCCCTGGAAATATAACATTGAAGACTACAACTCTGTTGAGTATAATACAGGAACCACAGACTCTTCCTTGGAGCATTATGACTTATCAAGCCTGACATACTCGAATTCTCCATATGAGACCAGACTATATGATTGGATTCCAAAGTTATCCACTAATCAGAGCGAAACAGAAATTCACGGGGATGGTAATGTTTTAGACTGGTCTTTCTATTATCCGGCTTGGAACTCTGAAGATAGTGACACCAGCACATTGGACTCTTTGGGTTCTCTCTGGGATATGAACTAAGCATACACTTGATAGCGACACCGACAGTTGAATAGTAAATATGCGAAAGCTTCAAACTGTAAAATGGATGTGTTTTAGCTATGTTTGCTAAATATCAACTTGTACCAATATGATGTTACACTTGTTGCTCAAGAAAATAGATGCGTTCCCTCTTTTTTAATATCTTGCTAATTCCATCAGCCATTAGGAGTGCTAGAAGAACGTAATTCAATTCAATACTAACTTCCTGCAATATGCATCCCATATTAGCTACAGAGAAGAAGAAAAATGATTAGATGACCCTTCTTTTTGTTTTTTCCTTTCTCTTTCCTGATTTTGTTTTAACCTTCTGAATTTTAAGCACGAAATAGTGTAGTTGGTGAGGATATGCTGAAGGGATAATTGTTCAGCGCAATACTTATGAACGCAAACGAAGAAAATGCAGCAAGTACAGAAGTTTTAAGTGTCCAAGGAGAAAAGTTTCATGTGTGCAAGGTTATGCATGTATGACACACATTCAAGCAAGCCGAGGCTGTTGCTTCTTCCTCAGAGGGAAAAATCTTGACAAAGGGAAATAGAAATCCCATAAAGTATAAGTGGAAAATGAGTTGATAAATTGTGAACACTGTTTAGCATTGAATGGAAGATCCTGATCAGTGACAACAAGCGCGCTGCACTCTTTGCTTATTCCTCGGAGAGTGTTTTCCAAACTTTTTCAGCAACCTAACAGTCATTTTACAATCTAGATTGCTGCATTTCTGTTTTCTGATACATAATGAAAGCCTAGGGCGTACTGAGTATTTTTAGAACATGTGAACTTGGTTCTGCAAGGCATAGAAGTTTGAATCAACCAATTAATCCATCTCTATTCAGTGTCTCACTGTTATTTTGCGAAAGTGATCTCGTGGTTGCTATTTACTCTTACCAGCATCAGTATATTTTGCTATGCTGTAGAGGCAGAACATTTTGAAGTTATAAGCAGTTACTATTTACTAACGTAAAAAAGCTAGCGATGTAACATGCTCCTTATAATCTTCATGATAATATTTTCTATTTGTGCAACTAGATAATGAGATGTGAACAGAAAGAAGACTATGTGAACTGAACAAACTTTGGTTGGTGTCACTTTGCTTTTAAGGGAAAGATCACTCCTTATTTCCCTTTTCTAATCTCTGAGAAGGCTGAATTTGGCAAGAAAACCTACCAGAACTACGTCATCTTCTTCATATCTCTCTATGCTCTAATGGTTTACTTTATAAATACCGTAGCCTGAAATGGATATTAAGTTTGATCAAAAGCCACCAAAGACAAAGCTTTAATTAATCTCTATCAAGATCTATCAATTTTATTATAATATCTAGGAACTAGATAGGAACTGCATCATCTTCTCAGATGTTAATGTTTTTTTTTTTTTTTTTTTATTCGGTTTGGAGGATATCAAGTACGATATCCCACCTCACAAACAAGTTGTACAGAGTTTCTCTTCTCTGGTGGAGACAAGAACCTCCCTAAGTTATCCCCTTCTAACATCATCTTTGGATTATTATTAATATAATTAGAGAAGATATGATGTCTTAATATAGTAGGGACCTCATGTATATGTTCTGGCTTTCTGGTTTACATCTTCTTCAAGTTGCTTCATTCTCTTTACTTTACAAGTAAAGAATACCCATTTCTCAAGATTCTCTTTGCTCTATACATGTAACTAATATTAAATATTTATCTAATTGCCTTTTTTCCATGACTAAAGATATGGTTATCAAAAGAAAAAAAAATGAGAGAAAAGAAATGCATAAGGACTCATTCTGTTCTAAAGTTAGCTCTCACATTGAGAAAAACATTAATGAACTCTTCATTGCAATATATTGAGGATATTAATGGTTAATTAGGTTGTGCATGCTCATTGCCATTATCCATTACCCAAAGATTTATTGAGAATAAAATAACTCGATATGGACTGATCTAATGAGTTAATTATTGTCAATAAAAACCATGCCTCAATAGCATTCCTGTCCACAGATTTCAGTATTTTTCTCTCTGTAGATGTCACACATGTTATATATATATATATATATAAAACTACAATATTAAAATGGTAAATTAGCTGGGGAAATTGTTGCAAGAATTGGTGAAAAACATATTGTACAGGTTCTCAACAGAATTGCTGATGTTAAATTAAGAGGACTAAAAATTAAAACTTAGTTTCTTGCTACGACATGGATGTCAGTCCTGCTATAATGTACTGGAAAGATAACAAGTAAATCAATGCAATCAAAATAGGAAGAAGAGCATAAGCAGAGGGAGGTGGCAATGGAGTACTGCTACCGTTGTAGTCATCCAAATAGTCATCGCCTTCCGATCCTAATCCCTCTTTGCCGCCGTTTGGCCCTGTGCTCCACATTCCCAAGTTGTTGTTCCTGCTCATTCAATATTACTCAGTTATTTCTCACATATGCCATAACAAAATCTTATAACACTAACAACTAATTGCTTAACCTCCACTGTTTCTTGCAGTTCATAGCATCGAAGTGAAACAAAAGCTGTGGTTCAAGATGGGCAGGAAGGACTTACTTTTGTGTAGTTGAGGTTAAAATTTGGTTCTGAACTAGTGACGACTCTTTTTGGTCAACCTACACTCCAACTTAAGAACTAGAGATGGCCGAAAATCAAGACCAACATGGCCATGGAAATAAATCCCAGGATTTGATTGGCATCAGAAATTATTAATAAGCAGCATTGAGGGTGTTCATAGAAATTTAGTAAAAGAAAAAAAGGGGTAAAATTAAAGGTCAAAAAGAGGAAGAAAAACGGGAGAAAGAAAGGAAAGAAATGTTAATATATATATACCTGCCACCAACACCGAGGACACCAGAGTGCATGGTGAGTTGGTCAATGAGAACGGCGGACTTGGGCTCCACGCTGTAGGCCTTCTCATACCTGACCTCGAGTCCCTCCCCTGATGCCACAAAAAAGGCTCCATTAACCAACGTGTCTCCCTCTGATCTCCAATTCCAACCTTTCCAGTCATCTGTTGCTGTGTCCACCCGCTTTGTCACCTGAATAAACCACACCCTTATATGCTCATTCTACCACATGAACTATTAAGCACACTTTATCTTCTATTTTTAGTTTCATATTATTTGGTTTATGGTCGCTCCAAATGATGCAAAATAATCCATGCAGCCGAACCCAAGTAGCTTGAGATTGAGGATTTTTCATTATGAAATACGTATCTGCTGCTACTGTATGTAAGAGTAGGTAAACGGTTAAACGGTTTGATTTTGTATAAATTCGGTTTTATTTTTTATTAATAAAATTAAAAAAAAAACTAAAGTCGAAATCAAACCAAAATAAATTCTGTTTGAAACTAAATTATTTCAGTTCGGTTTCATAAAAATTTTATTTTAACCGAAATAATTTTTTTTAATTGATAAATTCTAAATATGAGCTAGGCTAATATTTAGAGTTTTTTCATTTTTTAGTATATAGGTTAGGTTAATAAAGAAAATGCTTTCTTTTTTAATATCATAATTTAAATCTCAAACTAGATGTAAAAAATGACATTTTTATAAATCTTTAATCTTGTCATAATTTAGATTTTTTTTTTTTAAGTAGTAGTCAGGCGCTTTTTTTTTTTTTTTTTACTTTCAATATATTCAATTTTCGATAGAAATAAAACTTTTTTTCAAAAATCGAACTGAACTAAAATAATTTTAATATTTAATTTTTGTTTTTAATTTTATAAATCTAAATTCAAAACCAAACTGAAATACATAATTCTGTTTGGTTTGGTTTGATTTGATTTCTAGCTTAACTGAAATTACGCTCATCCGTAACTATATGCTTTGTGTTATGCCAATTAGAATTTGCACCGAATTTACTGTTTTCTTCGAAAACGGTGACAGATGGGTCAAATCTAGTTTTGAAAAATTGTCCCAATTACTCTCTCTCTCTCTACATACCTAACAACAAACACAAGGACCAGACATGAAGACATATTTCAAAAAGAAAACTTCTAAAAGACAAAGGAAAGAATATAAATTCCACCGAAAAGAAAAAGGCTCAGGGGTTGGAATATTTAGATATAAAAGTGGATTTGGGGTTCTATTAAGGATGTGAAGGAACACCATTCTTCTTTTCCGGTTGCTGGATTATATAATAGGAGTAAAATTTTCAACAAAAAATAAAATAAAACTTCAGCAGAAAACATAAGTATATTGCTAGGTTTTTCACTTTTATAAATCCACCAATGACAACCCCACCTTGAAAAGCACTTAAATTCTGTTGATTACGCATTAAGAGCATAGGCCCATCAGACTTCAAAACAGTAACACCATTACAAAAAAGCAAAAAACAGAGGCGTAAATCAGCAATAGTTTTATTTACCTCTTTAGCGTTGCGATTGGAAGGAGCTGTGTAACGATTCCCTTGGCTATTAATGGTAGGGTTACCACTGCCACCAATCGCGTACATTTCCCATTGTGTAAAGTCATTGTTAACCACATGAATGTACCCTCTTCTACATCTTGGCATTCTTTGCACCAACTTCTCACCGAAGTGGTTAAAGGCTATGGTCACCTGCATCCCTGAGTCAGGCAAGTAATCATCACTGTGACCTAGCAGCATCACCTCATTGTGATGGGAGAAAAAATTGTTCGATATTGTGATCCCTGAGGACCCCATCACTGCATCAATCAGACCGTCCTTACAATGAGAAAGTGAGCAGTGATCGATCCATATGTCTTTGGAGCCAAAGATGGAAATGCCATCACCATCCGATTTTGTTCGGTACCCAAAGTGGGTTGGACTTGAACGAACATTAGCATTTCCTGAACGATGTACAAAACAAAGAGAATTTATTGTGCCATTTCTCCAAATTCTCAAAAAAACATTTTCAGTTTTCTCCCATTCCCCTGTAGTCCCGAATTGATTTGGGATAATTAGGACCCACTACAATAAAGATAGTAGTTAAAGAAAAAAAAAAAAGCTGGATTCCAAACGGATCCTAAGTTCAGCTAGAAGCTTATTTAGCATCTTGGACTCCAGCTGCAGAAACCTTTTTCTCTTTTTTCTTTTTTCCTTTTTTTTTTCCCTTACAAGAAATATCTTATGGTAAATCCTGAATATGGTGCATCCTTCAGAAATGAAAGGAAAGGGAAGGGAGGGGGGGGGGGGTAAGTAAATGGAGACAATATCTTACCAGACTGAACACAATGGTGAATGTGTATATTGTGAATAATAACATTGCTTATATACTGTAGAGTAATGCAGCCACCACCCACAATGTGAACGTTAGCCCCACGTCCGTCAAGGGTTTTATAGCTATTAAAAATGAGTTCTTGGGACAGTTTAATGAGCATATTACTAGGAAACACAATCCAAAGAGGCTGAGGCTGTATCACAGCATATCTGAGAGTTCCTGGCCTTGGATTAACAGCATCATCATCTGAGGAGTCAGTCACTAGGTAATATTCACCATTCTTCCCGCCCATTGCGTACTGCCCGAACCCAATAGCGCAATCTGCTAGCCTCTGGCGATTGTTGGGCCAGTCTGGGTCACATTTCCAGCAATCATCTATGGGGTTACCCGTTAGGCATGCGGATTCATCTTCTTGAGACAGTTCTTGTAGCATTTGCCTTCTTGATACGGAAGCATTTACTCTTCTGCATTCAATGAAGTTCAATTTTTAATTTACAAAGTAGAGTGACCTTAACGTACGACACGGTAACCCAGTGAAAAAAAAAAAAAAATACAGATCCAAGAAAACGAAAATGAAACTACAAGCCCCAAAAAAATTAATGCAAAAATTTTACACTTAAGAGCTGGAAAACATGAAAGGAGTAAAATACGAAGAAATGCAGACAACTTGGCCAGCGAAAAGTTGATAAACAGAGAATATGCTAAGCTATGCATGTGAACTGAAGAACAAAAAACCAGAGGGCTAAGTTCCATTCGGCATTGTACCTTTGAACTTCGTGAGCAACTTCTTCAGGGTTGGGGTGTGGGGTGGGAAAGGTGAGATTAAGCATTGCCAATCCAAGTGGAGAAAATGAGCTCAGAATCAAAGCTAGGACAATGCAGCTCATTTGAGGCATTGTACTGTTACTGAAGTTGAGGGTGGAGAGATTGGTGCTTTTTCTACAGAGCCTGGTTCAAAAGATGCAGCTACAGCTTTCTAAGCTGCATTCTTTTGAGATTATGAGTATTGTGACCTTAGAAGAAATGTTACTCTTAAATGTAATTATTCATTCATGTGCATGAGTGGAGAAGATAATCACTTTATGTATTTCTCTCACTCTTTTGTCTTCTTTATCCTCGTTAGTGTTTGGTTTTCTAATCATAGAAACTGCCCCTTTAATTGGGGATTCACTTGATAGGGGTAAAAAGATAGCAGACGCAGCCATTAATAGAGGCAGCCATTAATAAGTTCAATAGCATTTTTTTTTTTTCAAAAAAAATTCACGTTTGAACCCCCTTTTTATAAAAAGAAAAATTAAAATTTTTCCTATTTCAAAGAAATTATCTATTTTTTTATTAATATTTATCTTAAAATATTTGTCTCATTAAAACTTTGAATGTGTTCTTTTCTAAAATATCCTTAATTAAAATCTATATATACATATATGAAAAAAATATTAAAATATTATAACAAACAATAATTTTTTAATTTATGTAAGAATTACATAGAAAACATTTTTTTGAGACAAAAAAAATGTTAATTCCATTACACTGATTAAGGCCGTATAATATTTTTTAATTAGTCAGTTTCAGTCGTTAGAAACCTAGTTATGCGATCTTTTCTTTTAGACTCACGTAGATTCCTGCCCGTTTAGAGGAAAAATGGTCCACTGTAATTTTGAGTGAGGTGCATGTGATGTAGGGAGATTTTAGACATTTTAATCAGACGATGCAAAGGTCCTGAAGATGCAGGTTTTGATTTAAGAAAAGATGATCCAATCCAAAGGGGAGTGGACATGGAAGTGAAAATGACTGAACATTCATCGTCTCCACAAATTCACCCTTCTTACTGGATTGGTTTGTCAATACCCATCGAAATCCGAAAATATAAATAGTTAAATAAAGCTTCATAAATAATTTTATATCATTTTCTAATATATTTTTTGAAATAAAAATTTTTTAAATATAAAACTTATACGTATTCACATTATCTTATATTTAATTAAAAGATTTTGTGTTTAATTAGAAGAGAAGATGATAAAATTCAAATTGTTGACTCTTTGATTGTTAGGTTAAAAAATTATTTCAATTTAAAAATTTAAATTATTAAATGAGAGTATATAAATAATTTTATATTACTTTATAACATCCTTACTTTTATGAGAAAGAAAAGTTCTTGCATTTTCAAAATGTTAACAGAAAATCGCAAACAAATGTTAACCAAGCCACATTAATATCTCAAGAGTTTTCTGAAATTACAATCCACACATGCACTTTGACTAATTATTTGGTGATTTACCTAATGGAATTAATAATTTTGTAATTCTAAGTTATGAAATATCAACAAATATATAAGAAATATAATGCATCTGTTAGATAATCTATTTCATGTTGAATAAATAAATAATTGATATTTAGTATATAAAATTAAAAATGAATTGTCTATAATAAGGTTTAATATTTTTGAATGAAATTCAATCTCAATCATCAAATTTACTAATATCACGCTCATTCTGTTGGACTCATCCAAATAAAAATTCTTGTGATTAATGTTTATATATATATATATATATGCATGCTTAGAGAGTCTTGTATCTTTAGGCTAGCCTTGGAACTAGCTTTCGCATATATACTAAAACTAATTAAATCTACATTTCTATTTTAATCACATGAGAATTTTACTTTCTACTGTTTGGTTTGAGATTTGAATCATGTTGACTAATTAAAGAAAGTATACTTTTTAACTATCAAAGCAACTTTCTCAAAACATTTATAGGATAACTTTATATAATATTTTAATTTAAAAAATCTTTGAAAACTCTAAATTAGTCGTAGGAATAAACCTCATTTTTATGATTTTTTAAAACAGAAAATTTAAAGCTGAGATGAAAGTTGACTGTCCATAATTAAGTTCTCATCAATATTCATCGTGATGTTCATTAACAATAGTTACAATCTTTTAAATTGCGACTCGTCAAATTAAATGAAGAGATGCATTACCATTTTAATATAACTAGTTTTTTTTTTTGGCACATTTAACTAATTTATAAAAGTTTTTTAATTTATATTGGATCATTAAAATGATTTATATATAACCAAATAAATTTGAAAGTTTATTAAACAATTTTTTTATTTTCAAATGATTTTATATAATGATAATTAAAGTATTTTTTAATCATATAAAATAAAATTTAACCATGCATAGGGACGAAAGTTGAATTATTTTTCAATATATATATATATAATGAATCTTTTTTAAACATTTAAACAGTTTTTTCAATTATATGTGATGCGAATATGAATTAACAATAGACATGAATAAATTTTTTATAAATATTTCCTTTTTTAAAAATTATTAGTGTTTATCTGAAGGAGTAAAAAATAATGAAATAAAATAACCAAAAATAGCCTATAAAAAGTTAGCTAAAGATTTAATTTTTTTAATAGCTTGATGAATTTTAATTTAATTATTTTTAAATTTTAAATATTTTATGCTTAATTGTCTTGCCTTTAAGAGTTTTTAGAGTTTTGATAGTCAAAAAAATTAATAGTTAGGATAAATATATATAAGTTTTAAAAATAATAATTACTAAAATATTTTCAATTGATGTTATATTGTTATGAAACTATTTTATGAATTTTATTTAATAAAATTTACCTTTTTTAATATTATCAGTATACGTGCAAGAGAGTAAAAAATGACATAGGTGAATAACCAAAATAACATATAAAAATTCAACTCAGAATTAAATTTAATAATTTGATGGATTTTAAAGTAATTTAATTATTCTTTAATTTTAATACTTTATAAAATTTTGATGTAACTTAATTATTTTTAATTTCAATACTTTATATATATATATTTATATATATATATATATATATATATATATATATATAACTTGTTTTTAATTCTTTTTGGAGTTTTAATAGTGAAAATTAAGTACCAATAAGTACTATACAGTTTAGGAGTGATTTAAGTAATTTATTTTATTGTAGTTAGGGTTTTATGCCTTGTATAAATAAATAACGATATTAGCCTAAAAAAAAGAAATTACTATTTTTATTTTTAAGAATTTTAACAATATTGGTCGATTTTTCAAATAAAGAAGCGGTTGAATTCACTTATTAATATTGGTAGTATATTACAATGTTGGTGTTGTATTAAGTTTATAATAGTCAATCAAAGGTTTTTAAGACGTTGGGCTTAATTCTATATATAGTTATAGATAAGACATGATTGTTCTTAAAATGATATATATATATATATACATATGAAGAGATATAACTTATGGATATAAATAATTTAAATGGTGCATTAAAAAGACATTATGGTCCTATTAAGATGTAAAATAAGTAAGGTTGTGATCATTGTTTAATGCAATAATATCTATTAATTGACAATAGTTGCGATATTTGAAATTTCAAACTCTTCGCATTAAATGAAAAAAAAAATTTACACCACTAGCTATTTGATACTAATGACACATAATTGTTCATAAAAAATATGACGAAGTATTACTTATGAATTATATAATTAATTTAACATAGTGTGATTAAAAGACACAATATTTTGTAAGTATGCAATAAAAAGATATAATGGTAACTATTGATTAGGTAGGATAGTAATCACCACCAACAATTGCATGCGATCTTTGAAACTTGTAACTCTTTTTGTATTGAATCAAATGGTACATTATTATTATTATTATGTAAAGAGCATGAAAATGTGAAGAAATATAATTAATTTCACACGATTAATTTTAAAAAATGTGAATAAAAACACAAGAGTCATTTCCAAGGTTACAATGAAAATGTATCGTGAATACTTGATAATTCGCCTATATATGAATTACAAGGGATATGTTCTTCCATTAGTATCCAATTATTAGGATATATCATTTGAATTGTCTCTTCAACAAATATATATAAATGAGAATTTTATTTTATTCCAATAATGTATTGCATATTTGATATTCTCGATTATTTACAAATTGTATATTTTATTTATACATACAATGACTAAATGTTTTTTTTTAATTTCATTAAAATATAAATTTAGGTAGTATGTTGAGACCTTAAATAAAATCTTTGTAACCAATTCTGACATGCCAACTAATGCAACATAACTGGTTGATTTTATTTTATTTTAGCCCACGTTTTGCACACCAAATACAATCTGGGTTCCAAATTTCTAATAATCCATTTCCAATAAACCAACCTCTTGGACTGCTATTAAAAAACAGCATCGGATTTCAAAATAGCAAAATCTAATTCAAAAATTCCATCCATTTGTACACGTCTAGTATATTTTTTCATAGTAGAAGGATCCATATAACTTAACAATTATGTCTTCGTCAATCAAAATAACTAGAAATATTTTTTAAAAAAAAAACAATATGACATACAACGTATAAAAAGCTGATACCCTTATTTATCTCTAAATATAAGATGTCTTAACTATCCAAATAGCTACTCCATTCCCATTGTCAATTGAACTTGCTCTGAACAATCCACTTTTTTTCTGGATTATTTTTACAATAATCATTAGAAACAATTTTTTCAGGAGTTTTGATTTTCAATTAGCCTAGCACCAACTCTTCGATGTATTATCCTATATACTAAAGCAAAATGATTTTTCACTGTAGCGAGTGAACAGTAAAAATCACTGTTTATTGTTACGAGTGTTTTTTTAAAATTTCCATTATCCTCCCCCCAAATCCGTTTACTGTTCATTTGAACAGTAAACGCCTGCCCTCTTTTTTTTTTTAACATTTAATTTTTTAAAAAATTTCCACCCATTTACTGTTCACATGAACAGTAAACGGCTTGCACTTTTTTTTTTTTTCTAAACATTGAATTTTTTTTTTAATTTCTGTTTCTTAATAGTATTTGGTATTAAAATTTTAAAAGAACC